CCGCTTTGGCGCCACAGGTACACTTAACAGATAGCTTACAGTTTTTTGCTTTACTCATAGCTCAGGATGAGAACGCTAAGATAGTCTCACCATGGTCCTGTTTCATTGCGATGAGCTCAGTGTGAAGGACACTCGTCGCCACCTTTGCAACGGCCTGACATTTGATGGCCGCCAGGACGTCAGTCTCTGCCTTGGTACTGATGGTCGGACCGAGGTCTCGTCACTATGCTTTAGTTCGATGCTGCTGCATGCCAGGAGGAAAATTGATATCTTGTCTGTTGGGGTCGCGACAGTATTTTCATATGCCGTCCATTCCCTCTAAAAGCTGTCCCATGTGTCCTCGTATATGTTGCCCGTGACCTTGGGCTGAGGGATGACGGGAGCCTTTGCGGCGACTGGTGCGGGGTGTGCTGAGGAGTAGTGATGGCCTCGCATGCATGACGGCGGCTACGACATTGTCCACATCAAGGGTGTTGTAACCGCATCCCGCGATTCTTGACGAAATCTTGCGATGTAGAAATCTTGACGATGCACATAGTTGCGAAAACGTTTGAAATTTACTTTTGATCAAAAATTCCTTCAAATAACTTTGTAAATATTGTTTTTTTTTTCGTTGAGTTATGTGCTCTTATCGAAAAAACAGAACTCGTGTCGAGTTTAATTTTAAACACAGCAACACAAATCATCTTTTTATCATTATCATTTTCATATCTACAAAGTTTCTAGGATTTTGACTGGATAATGTGATGAAGAGACACTTTGACGTTCTGATTAATAAATGATTAAAAATTTGTAAATAGATTGTTTCTGTAAATCGATGGTTATTCACAAGTACCAAATTAATTAATCAGTCCCATTTGTACCAAAATAAAAAACAATGGCGTTAGCACCAGAAATATTCAATTGGCGAAACGTTACTATGCCAACTGTTTTAAGGTCGCCGGTGGGCGCGCTGTCGACGCTTCGTGGCGATAACCGGCTCCATTCTTCGAATAAGAGTCCCACCCTCTGTTGACAAGCTCGCAACACGTTGGCGCGACTGCGGCGTTCCCTATTCTGGAGTTCTGAATCGAATATCAAATATAGTTTGACAAATTAAAGAAATCCAATTTTACTAACAGTAAATATGTACAGCAGGGAACAAAATAATGACAATTTTTTAATATAATTACATAATTGTAAATTCTCCTGTAATAGACATTTTAGATTTTGTATCTTTTATGCAACATTCGCCCGGAAGTACATACCGACGGAAAAAAGCTAGATCCTAACAACTGGCTAACGTCTAAACACAGCTTCACATGCTTTTAAACGTCTCTACCAAAGCCATTTCAATGTGTGGTCCATTAACATCGGGTCGACAAAGTCGTTACTATTTAAGGCTATCGGTACTATTTAAGTCGTTACTTTTTAAATTAACTTAGTTACATGCAAAATTAGTGAGCTCTTGGCTGGGTCTCAGTATCCCCAGACCACGAGGTCACTCCTAAAAACAGGGCTACTACTTATTATCATATTACGACTGTTTTTGTTCAGTAGATAAAATCATTATTTTCCTCAACTCCTAGCTTCTCATTATCTGAAAACGAATTTGATGTTATTTAATTCAATTCAGGACATACCAGGAAGCTAAAAATTTTTTAAATCAGTTTCAAGTCTCTTCCCAATACCCCCTCCGAATTCTCGGGAATTACTCCGTTATGATTGTAGCTGCACAGTCAATACAATTCGGAATGCTCTTTCGCCAATATCTGACAGTAAATCTATATCTGCTGTTGGTTTTTTTTCGCGAAAATTGTCGTTCTTATTCCGGCTAGCGGAAATCGTTCTTCTTTATTCGTTCTACTTTTTCTGTAATCGCAAAAATAAAAATGGTCACGTGTCTTTAAAAACGAATTTTTAAAATTTCACATCTCAGTTTAAACCGACCTCTCCCAATTCATTCAGTTTACCAAAAAAGACAGTTAATCCTCTGAAACAGCCAATTCTCCCACTCAATTGTTCCAGATAAAATTTCGCTTCTGCCATGCATTTTAGACGCTATTCTGGTCGAATGTCACATTAGTTTGGGCAAGTAATGATATGATGATCTTTTTCGATGTTTCCATGGCATAACCGGCATTTGCAGAACTCATTAAGAATAAAACCGGTGTCCATATCCTGGGGCATTGTAACACCCTTTGCTGTGCTTGTACGATGGTGAAGGCAATTTTTGTAAAAAAATACTGATAATTGGTCGTATTGTATTTTTGTTTTTCTGTAAGTTCAGTGTGTCATAAGAAATTTAAAATGCTAATTCAAACGATTTTGTGCATCATCAGGGTTAATTTTTTTGAACCATATTTACAAAATGATCAAAGATCTGAAAAATGAGAAACATGTCTAAAAATGCTCTAAAGCTTTTTGACCAATCAAATTTAAACAACTGTAATTACATAATAAATTACGTAGTCATTAAAAACATTTTCCTGTAAGTTTCTGATATTTTTTAGTTTTTTATTCTTTCGCGGTTATAAAATTTCGATTTGAGAGTATTTTTGATTCTGACATGTCAGTTTTTTCAACTTTTAGCCATGTTATACATAGACTATAATTTAAGTGTTAATTACCGGCTCCTGAATTCATCGCGTGTGTTGATGTTCGGCCTCTCCCTCCAAATATGCAAAGCCTCTAGTGTGCGAAGCTTATGAGTGTTGGCTGTTTGGTCTATAATCTCTGACTTCAGCTCAGCAGTACAACCTACCTCCTTGTTACATTCTAACAAGTGTTGCTCTACTGGGGAGTCCCTTTGCGGTGTTCATCGACCCTCGTGGCTAAATGTCGGACTGTCTCGCCAAAATAGGTGGAGTTACATCCACTACATGTAAGCTTATGCACCACTTTGGATCCCAGTTCACGAGCAAAGGAAATTTTGAGAGATGGCAAGCATGTTTTCAGTTTTCTTGTAAAAACTATTTGTGCCCCGGATATTTGCCGAACCTTTGCAGCTAACAGTTGAGATGGATTGCCTCGATATTGCCTTGTAAAAAGGGGTTGAGTCTTTCAACAATTTATCATTTCTCGGTTCTGATGCCTTCACCTCTAAAATCTTTTCTCTCAATGATCTTGTTTAGAGTTTCAAACACTACCCTGTCCGACCAATTTTTCGGATATTGGTTTTCAATCCATTATTTTTTTTTCCAATGCCTGGTTATATTTTTCCTGTGTTGAGGTACTTCTTAAAACTCTATGAACCGTCCCTTCAAAAACGTTTCTTTTGTAGTGTAAAGGTGCGCAACCTCTGAAATTTAGAATGGTGCCGTTATCAGTGGGTTTTTGGTACCACCCACATGTGACCTTTTTTTCCTGAGTCCACCTTGACATTTAAATCCAAAAAGTCCAAATTACCGTTACTATCAAGTTCTTCTATGGTGAACTGCAAGTTTGGATGCAACTTATTGGCAGCCTCGAGAACTACCCCAGGATCGCCCTTGACATTTCTAACTATGTCATCCACATATCTTAGAAAAACTTTAACACCAATCTCAGCCCTACCTGCTTCCTGTTGTTTTTTTGCAAGTTATGCAATACCATACTGTTTCAGCGATGTCTGCGTATTCAGATTCCGATATGTTTTCACACCCTAAGTGGTACCAAAATTTCGTTATGGTAGAGATGGTCGAGCAGTGTGAAATTACTTATAAATCTTAGTGCTTCGGCCCACATTTCCAGATGTAACCATAAATACGTTTCCAGTGTTCAACGATAGTAGATTCCGGTAAGTCTGGTTTGAATATATCTAGGCCGTATGATCCACAAGGACAACGATTGATTCCATAAGCGTGTTTGCTGAACCGAAGTATCTTTTGTAGGTTTATTTCATTTTTCAGCGAAAATGTGTTTCGTTATCATCGTTTTATCAGGTGGCCCTGATAAAACTTGTTATTTATCTCCAGAAAATTTTTTTACCATGCCAAAACTCCTATATTTTTTGCGCACGAGCCCTTGTTTTTTGCAAAATGATTTTTTGGAACGCTGCGACAATTTAATAAGAAATTCGTTATGCAAGGTCACTTATGTGAAAATGGATGACAGTTTTTACAAGCAGTTCTTCCGGCAGCCAAAGGTGGATTGGGTGTTTCTTCCGCTCGTCTATTAGCTTTACCCGCTTTCTTAGCCTCAGCAGTGGGAGGTAAAAATGCCGTAAGCGACATTTTTGGTTTGGAGCATCAACGCTTCAACGCGTTCCTGGATAGATTTTGCTCCCAATGGTTGGTTGCCATCGTGTGCAAAAATTTAAGGTTAAAACTGTCAAACCAATTTATTAGAAATGCGATAGGACTTCAATTAGGCCCAAAACTTTGCCAACGGCATACATGCGTGTGCGGCAAAAACGTTACCGAAGATGGTTGCCATGGCTTTTCTTGCCTCAAAAGTGCAGGGAGGTTCTCTAGGCGGATCTAGGACAACAAGCCGACGGGACTTCAAGCCGAAGGGACTTCAAGCAGAAATTAAAACTTAACAAGCACCTAAAAACGCTATTTTTGTCATCTGTAAAACGTTCTTGTTCAAAAGTTATGGCAAGTTTAGTCCATAATAAGCGTTATTCCTGACAATGCACCACTTGTGATTGGCATCCGTTAATAACATCAGCCGGTTTTTGAAATACATGAATAATAATCATGAAAAATGCCTTCAACCATGTTCTTATTTTCACTTTTCTGAATATTCATTTGGAGGCTTAAGTTATATGTAAACGCCAATAACTAGTGAAGAAAGATCTCGAAATTCAAAAGTTCTTCAAAAAGTTTTCAAATTATTCATATTTCACGACTTTAAAAGGAACTATTCGGATTGAAGTCCCTTATTTTACAATTCGGCTTGAAGTCCCGTCGTCTTGATAACCGGCTCCCTCTCTAGGTATTCAAACCTGAATGCTCTTATAAAGCAGAGTTTATCTTCTCATATTCCGTCTGTTTTAGAACCACGACAGGGACGATCCGAAGCGACCAGACGGTTTGACGCTCGTTCCATGGGCTGTTGGTAAGCAGCTCGTGGGATGTAACGGTAATAGACTCCTTAGCCGCTAGTAGGATTAGTGCCGGGTTTGTTTATAAACCTGGTACGACTGCCGCTGAAGCGGAAGAGCGAAAAAATGAAACGTAAAAAGACTTAATAGATGATGAGTATCTTCTTTTTGAGCAAGCTTTGTAAGAACCTAAGCATATGCACTGAGGAACCCAGAGCAAGTAGCTTTTTAAAACAGAGAATCTCCCTGGCAATACATATTGCGAACGCCGCTTGCGTACTCGGAACAATAATTGACAAAACAACTTTCGACAAATTTTTTATTTGTAACACAATTATATTTGTATATTTTATTTTCTCGTGTCGATTTGCGTGTTCTTAGTGAAGAAACGTAACAGGTATCGAGTTTGATTGCAAGGACATCAACACTTATCATTGCCTTGTTATTAATATCAATTCCATATCTAGAAAAATCCAAGGATTTTGCCTGGAGTACGTGATGAAGGGACTCATGACTGTAATCTCGGTTACTATGATACTTTTGACTTTCTGATTACTATTAGGTGGACCAGATGGTTTATTCGGAGATAATTGTGGGCTCAGAAAAACTCATAGGTAGGTAAAATTGTTGACAAATTCAATTGTTTCATTTTGTACATCCGCATATCCATTTTTGATAAGCTTCCACCCTTTCTGAATTTTATTGCTTTGGAAATCCCACGTGTACTGTTAGATTGTTCCTGTCGCAGTAATTTTCCAGCTCTTTTAGAGCGTTTTGTATGTGTTCACATTTTTTAGTTTTTTGTTGGAACAGTCGAAAATTAATGAAGTATTTCGTTGGCTCACAATTCGACCAATCAGAAATCGAGTTGAATAATTTTGGTACAAATGGGGCTTGACCCTGGAAAGCACCAAGATCTTCAGCTTTGTGTTAATTGAAATCAAAATTTTGTTTTCAGAACTGGAAATGTGCAATGTTTTCTGTGTCTCAGCTTTGTCTAATAAATATATTGTCTATTATTCTCTTGTATTGTAATATATTAGCTGTTTGAGTGAATATTTCGGCAGTGATGCGCCGAAAATATCGGATGCTTGCAATTGCAAAATATGCATGTCAGTTGTCAGTGTTGATATTCTTGAGTAAATCACTATAAATGTATGTCACTTTTCAGATTCACGTTATTATGTTTCTCTTTGTAATTCTTTTTCTTTTCCTGCTCAGTGTTGCATGGCTTTGTCATCTCATTTTTATTGGCCCAGAGCATGGAACAGTTATCATTCACCCGGTTAACCTTTTTGGTGCTTCAATCATTCCCATATTTGTCGCTTGGCGCTCCTTCTCAAGAAAAAAGCTGGATCTTCTAGGAGCAATTTTTGCTTATTTCATTGGTTTTACGACTTTCATTTCCAATTTCTCTATTTTTTGTTCCTTGATGGGTTTCTTTTTCTCGAGCAACATTTTCACTAAGTGGAAGAGCAACCGAAAAGTAAGTTAATTTTTTAGAACAACAAAATTTACTGCGATGTGTTTTGAAAAAAAAAACCTATTTATTTTAAGGCAAAGCAGTTAGCAGATTATGAAACCACTGGTTGCAGGGATAGTTATCAAGTTTTGTGCAATGGCGCTGTTGTGTACGTTTCATGTATTTTAATAGGTGGGTAACATGTGAAGGGATCTCTTTAAATATCCCCCCTTGGTACCTCCTAGTAGCGAATTGCCACCCCTATAATAAAATAATTCAACGGTTAAGCATATACGCACTTTGTACCTAGTAACGGATCCCCCTTTACAAAAGGGGATAGTTAAAAAGATCCTATGTGAAATCAACGGAAAATAAGTTTGTTCTTACGGAACTAAATTAAAGTTATCAATGTGTTTTAGCGTATGAATGTCGAATGCAGCTCAGAGAACTTAGTTTCATGTCGCAATATAGGCTAGTTGAAATTTTGGCCGAATGGTTTTTTCTTTAACCTGACAACTCTGTTGACGTACTAACATTTGATATCTGCTACAGCTGCACCATGTATTATCTTATGTCAATTTCTGCAATCTCTTGCTCGTGTGGCGATACCTGGGCGTCTGAGATTGGAACTGCAATTGGATCAGATACTCCTCGTCTTGTAACTTCATTTAGGAGGGTACCCGCTGGCACAAATGGAGCTGTATCTCTGACAGGATTGGTGAGATTTTGTTATCAAGGTCCCTGTTGCTGTTCAAAATTATGTCCCTAACTGGTGTACCGATAATATCCGATGAGACATATCGAACTTGATTGCAGAAACGGGACGGCCAAAAAGCTGAACTGATTTTCGTATTTCCAATTGCTGAAGCATTTTTTTTTTTTGGTAAACAACTTCCAGTATTGTTTATTTTTTCTTATTCGAATCATGGAGATGAAAGTTAAGCGGCTTTAGAGATAGATTGAAAGTCTGTGGTATGTTATTATAGTCGATTGTAATTAAAGTTAAAACTCAAATTTAAAAGAAGGTTTTTTGATGTATTTTATACTTTAATTTTTGTCCCAATTTTTTTTCCAAATGTTAATAGTTGATTTTTTTCCACGCATAATCAAGTACGACAAATAGTCATGAGAATGGTTTTAGTGATATATCATCTTAAAGCGCTTTCAGTCGGCAAAACAATTGAACGGCAAAACAATTGTAAGTTTGCAAGTTTGATTTTCGAACGAAAAAACCAGTTAGCAAGTTTTGATTTTGGGCCTAATTTCCAGCTGATAAGGTGAGCGTGCCTTATACAATAGCTTATTTATGGTTTATGCAAGCCGCGAAAACTTAGCTTTACTCGACTTGTTTATAGTTTCAGTAAAAATAGTTTTTTGAGCTTTTAGGGACAATTCAGGAATCAAAAACTTAAAAATTCAAAAAATTTATGCAATAAAAAATTGAAGTTTTTGAAAATTTTCTGAATGTTTAAACGATTTTTTAAAAATTTTCTATTCATTTTCTACCTAAATTTGTTTCCAATGGTCTTTTTTTTACTATGACTGTCGAATATGCCTAAGTTCTTTTTTTCAATCAGATCTTTTTATCACACCGCGCAGAAAACAAACGACACTAGCTTGATCACTTTTTTGAATTTGTTAAGACTATGGTCGAAATATTCTGAACTACTTTCACAGTCGTCGGCTATCCTTGTTGTTCCAGTCATTTGATTCGGGTGTTTTTTTTTCACGCAAAATCAGGTATCACAAGTAACCATCGAAATGGCTTGTGATATATCATATTAAAGCCATTTCAGTTCTAACTCGAACATGAAAAAGTTTACCCAGTGCCGAGAAAAACTGGTTTAAAATTTGTTATTTTCGTCAGTTTTTCATCGAGAAAAGCAATCGAGTAATAATTCTTTTATTGTTTAAGATCATTTTATCCACGGGGGAAAGGACCAACACAAGAGCTGTACAGCTCATCACGGCGAACCGCTGTTGTGCCCCCGTTTATGAACTACATGCAACTTTTTTTTTGGTTATTTTTCTGGGCTGGGTTATGTTGCTTCACCCTCAAGCAACGAGCACGGATCATGGTGGGCCTCGAACATCCGACCTCTCGATTGAGAGGCGGAGACGTAACCACTTCACCACCGCTCCCTTAGACCTTTATTTAGACCTTAAAGCTAAAAACAATTAAATTGACTAGAAAAAAAACTAGTTTTAGATGTAAAGTTTTGTGCATTGTCGGCTATAAAAGTTTTTAACATATTGAATTTTTGTGTAAAAAATAGAAAAATATATTTTCTTTCATATTTTGAGTAATGAACGTAGTGAGTACTCTTATATAGGTCTTGCTGATTTTTTTTGTTTTTTTTTCATGAAAAACTTGTGATTTTTCAAAGTTCAGTGCATTTATATTGGTAAAAGAAAGGCAAACTCCACTGTCGAACAGCAAAGTTTTAAGGGTCACCAAAAATTTGATCGTTCTTAGTTTCGAAAAAGAAATTAATTATCAGATTTCCCAGCGAAATAAAAGTTTTACCTATTGATTTAAGACTTAGGCTTAGATTTAAGGCTTTAAGACACTTCATCCATTTTTTTCTTCAAAATTCTAAACTTTGAGGCTAAAAACTGCAGGAAGAAAGTGTTTTTGATATTTTGAAAGGTTTCAGCAATCTCAAATCTGTTTTAATTTATTTTGTTCTTCTTTTTCGAGATGAAATAAATATATACATGTAGCAACCGGGACTTTTGTACTGCAGTTTTTTCGCACCAAGGTGTCAGGTTAGGTATTGTCTGCTGAAGTTTATTCTTTATATTTTGTAAGTTGGTAACTAGAAATAGACGGAACCCAGTTTTCTCAAGAGCTCAGATAATTGAGATTCATGAGTTTTGCTCATTTTGGTCGCTGTTTTTCTTTTTGAGCATCTTTCTGCAATCGATATAGAGTTTTACAGGTGTAAAAGTTGGATTTGTAGATGATTTTCGACTTTTTTCATGATAGGTTTTTTCTTTAGATCGGCTCTGGCGTGGGAGGATTATTCGTGGGACTATGTGCTCTATTATCTCTTGGTCCTCAGTTCTGGTCAATCTCAACTACATTTGATCTCCTTCTATTCTGCACCTTATCAGGTCTAATCGGATCAGGAATTGACTCGATTTTAGGCGCCATGTTTCAATACAGTGGCATCGATCAAAGAACCATGAAAGTTACAAATGAGCCAAATTTACATGCTGTACATATATCAGGCTATCCGATTCTAAGCAATAACGCAGTTAACGTGCTAACCTCTGTACTAACATCTTTTGCCGTCATGCCTAAGCTAGCTGTATATCTCAGGCTGTTTAATGAAAGTCATACATTTTGATTCGTGTATATTTTGATTATTAAGATATACGAGTAGTATAGCGCAACAAGAGGTCATGCCTGTTTTCGGAGAAAGGTCAACCTGTCAAGGTCGCGTGACTATGTTACTCAATTAGCCTAATCTTTTTTTTTCTCGGGGGTCGTAATAAAGATCTGATCAGATTAATTTTTTCACCTGCGTTAATTTTTGGGGTATATGACCGGACTCATTGGGGAAATTTTGTCCAATTGTTAATTAAGTGGATAACTCTGTGACATCGCTGAGGGAAACAAACTCTTATCAGATTAATTTTTTTCACTTGAAGTTATTTATTGTATTTGATTTGAATCTCACTGAAGATTATCAGCTTATCGGGAATTGAACTGAAGTAACTTTATCTATTTTTCTGGGTTAATAGTTTTCAATCTAAGATAATTCCCTAAGCCCCCTGAAAGTTAATTATCCTTGATTAAACATCTTTCTATAAACTATTGAATTTAAAAGTTTTCAGCTTCATTGTTTTCCTAAACTTATATGTAGCCAATGAAAGAAATTCAATTGAATGAACCAATAGAAGTTTTTCTTGATCAATCTACATCACAGTTCAGGTTTCAGGTTCAGTTTTATTATATCTCATTGTTGCTTTTCTCGTAGTTCCTAACAATTTCGGTCTCAAAACTTAGAAACAAAAAATTTAAATCTCTCACAATCACTTCTTTTGCTTGAGTTTGATCTGATTTGATTATATTTCAATTCAATTTCTTCAGCTACTCTTGTTGATTTATCTATCTCTCAATCTCTAACATTTGATCAATCAAAAACTCCAATATTTTTTTCCTGAACGTTTCTCATCGAGTCTTTTTCTAGCAATATTTAATTAAAATTTGCATCCTAATTTGCAATATTTAATTAAAGTTTGCATCCTAACTTGTCTCCAAAACAAATCACTTGAGTTTTTTGAGTTCTCAAATTTCCGAATCTGCTTCGATAAAATAATTGAAAATTTGACAATCTATTCCATAAGTTAGATCAATTCAATCATTCTTTCATTTCGAGCAATTTATAATTTATTTTTTTTCCCACTCGGTTCTCCAAAAGAGTTTTCCTTTAAGTTGTACTATCTAAAGATTTCCACAATCTGCGTTTCCTATAAAGTGAAATCCCTATTAGTCTTTTCTTAAAATTGCTTGATAAACGTTTTGCATTGGATTCTTATTTCATTTTCTTGCTCACAATTTCTTTACTACCTTACACAGCTTAATTTATCAGTCGATCCTGCCTCCAATATCTCACTCAAACTTCAAACCCTTTTGCTTGTTCATCCGTCTCTCAACTTTTCAGTGACTCCAGTCATTCATCCAGTAAGATATCCTTCCTTTAATTTTTCATTTTTTTTACAATTTAAGGTTGAAATTTTTTTCCCACTGAAGGGTTCAGGGAACTTTTTTCTTTTTCTATAAATGAGATGAATTCCACCCTTCGTTCTGTAACCCAATCATTTTCTGGTCTTCAGATGAAAAACAAATAATAAATAATAAAAAAAACTGTTTTGTCAGGTGAAAAAAAAATTGTTGTATCACTTTTATTTCTCAATAAAGTACTCATATATTATATATATATAGACCCTTGCGAGTTTTTTTTTCAAAATTTTTTCCCAAATTTTTTAAATTTATTTTTATTCTACGCAAAAATCCCGGCTTTCACTGCTTCGCAGTGAAAGTAGAGCACTTTTTCTTCATAAAAATCGCTTAATTCCCAGTAGTTTTCAACCGAAACAGTGTTTCCCAGTAGTTTTCCAACCGAAACAGTACAATACCAACCGAAACAGTGTTTCGAGACATTCTTTGATGGAGTAGTTGAAGCAAGATGACAAGGAGATCTTAATCCTGACTCTGCTGTTTGTGCCAATTTTGAGAAAGTTGTTGGTAACAGTGCCTACGGATACCAAATCATGGATCGTTCCAGACATACTCGAACGAAGTATGTAATTGGATCATGTGTAAATACTTTGGTGAATGATAAGATGTTCAGAAAGTTTAACGAACTACCGAACGAACTTTATGAAGTTGAACTCGGTAAATCGAAAGCTGAACACAAAGAACCGATTATAGTGGGATTTTTCATCTTACAGTATGCAAAATTAGTAATGCTTGAACTCGTCTATAATTTTTTCGTACCATTCTGCGATCCTGATAAATATGAGTTCATTGAAATGGATACGGACAGTTTATATCTTTCAATCAACGGAAGTGATCTCGAGGATATCATCAAACCCGAAATGAAAAGTGAATGGAATTTAATGAGGAGTAACGATTGTAGAGACAATTTCACTGCTAATTCAATTTCTAATTTTTTCCCTCGAAAGTGTTGTGAAAAACATAACAAGTATGATCAGAGAACTCCTGGTCTTTTCAAAGAAGAATTTCGATGCACGGAGATGGTTGCATTATGCTCCAAAACGTACTGCTGTCTTGATGAAATTAGTTAAACTGAGTTCGAAAGGTATAAACCAAACAGCCCTGTTAAACAACTCACCGATGCAGAAATATCGAAGTGTTTTAGTTGAGCAAGCAGAAATTGAGACTACAAACCGAGGATTCAGAGTGCAAAACAATGAAAAAGTGGTAACTTATGAACTGAAAAAGAAAGCTCTTTCATTTTTCTACCCGAAACGAGAAGTGCTAGCAGATGGAATTCATACATTACCTCTTAATATTTTAACTTTCATATATCTCTGATTGCATTTGGTGTAAATTTTATCCTGAAAATCGTTTCTATCGATTCCGTTTTCAATCAATAAATTTTTTTTGATGTTAATTTTTTTTCCTGCTCAAGATTTCTTCACGAAAACTGTTTATCGGCTAGTGAAACAAGAGCCAGGAGATTTTTTATTTAGATTGGCGTTTTTAATTTGAAAAATTTTAACTGTTCCTTAGTTGAAAACTTACTCGTTCATTGAACTCCATCACTCTCATTTTAAAAAAAAAAAACTAAAATATGACTTCAAAAAAAAGAAAACCCTAGTTGGATAGTTTAAATATAATTTTTTCATTTTCAATTTGAAAGAATCGAGAAGGATTTTTACTGTTCTTTTTTTTTATTAAGTTTCAAACTAAATCTTTTCCTTAATTTTAGTCTAATGAACCGTATCATATCGGTTTTTTTTTTGTTGCGAAAACTCGACTAAAAATATTTAAATTACTTTCTAGGAGACGAAATTTAGCAAAACGAGTAAATGACTTTTTAAACAAAGACAATCAAAAATCTTACTACTATCATTCACTTCACACAGTTTAAATATATGTGTTAGAGGTCAGTTTTTGTAATGCTCTAGTTTTCGCTGCTCTTTTCTTCTCCTGAGACCGTCTCTGCATCGGATGCACAATTTGACGTTTCCTTTTACGCAGTTTTTGATCTTCCTGAGGAAGTATCGTTGTGGTTGTTCCTTCTTCAGTTGTTGTGGAGCACACCCGTCTGGTTTCCATGTCAATCTGGTTTATATGCACGAATTCTCGTTTTCCGAGAGCTATCTCAGCAGCTGCCAGCATGATTTCAAATGAGTTCCTTTTACGCAGTTTTTGATCTTCCTGAGGAAGTATCGTTGTGGTTGTTCCTTCTTCAGTGGTTGTGGAGCACACCCGTCTGGTTTCCATGTCAATCTGGTTTATATGCACGAATTCTTGTTTTCCGAGAGCTATCTCAGCAGCCGCCAGCATGATTTTAAAGGAGAAGATCAAAAGAAGTTAAAGTTGAAATTTATTTAGCTAGCTTAGAGGCTGCTTAAGAAACTGGAAGTATGAGAGAGAATGAATTTGATTTTAAGTTTAGAAAAGGAAGGAACAAGAACTTCCTCTATTGGCTAATTTATTTTTTCCCTTCCTTATTTTTAAATACATGAAAAAAGGGAGCAGTGATTCTGGATAAATAGTTCGATAAATAATTCAAGTGAAAACAATAATCTGATACAATTGTTTTCCCCTCGGTGATGTCATTAAGCTATCCACCCTAATTACCTATAAACAATTTACTCCCAAGGATGCCGGTTAAATACCCGATAAGTAATTCAAGTGAAAAAAATTAATCTGATAAGAGTTTGATTCCCTCAGCGATGTCGCAGAGTTATCCACTTATTAACAATTGGACAAAATTTCCCCCAATGAGTCCGGTCATATACCCCAAAAATTAACGCAGGTGAAAAAATTAATCTGATCAGATCTTTTTTACGACCCCCGAGAAAAAAAAAGATTAGACTAATTGAGTAACATAGTCACGCGACCTTGACAGGTTGATCTTTCTCCGAAAACAGGCATGACCTCTTGTTGCGCTATACTACTTATACGCGTGAAGGTTTTTTTAAATGAATTTTCAGATCTGTCGCAATTTCTTTACTACCTTACACAGCTTAATTTATCAGTCGATCCTGCCTCCAATATCTCACTCAAACTTCAAACCCTTTTGCTTGTTCATCCGTCTCTCAACTTTTCAGTGACTCCAGTCATTCATCCAGTAAGATTTCCTTCCTTTAATTTTTCATTTTTTTTACAATTTAAGGTTGAAATTTTTTTCCCACTGAAGGGTTCAGGGAACTTTTTTCTTTTTCTATAAATGAGATGAATTCCACCCTTCGTTCTGTAACCCAATCATTTTCTGGTCTTCAGATGAAAAACAAATAATAAATAATAAAAAAAACTGTTTTGTCAGGTGAAAAAAAAATTGTTGTATCACTTTTATTTCTCAATAAAGTACTCATATATTATATATATATAGACCCTTGCGAGTTTTTTTTTTCAAAATTTTTTCCCAAATTTTTTAAATTTATTTTTATTCTACGCAAAAATCCCGGCTTTCACTGCTTCGCAGTGAAAGTAGAGCACTTTTTCTTCATAAAAATCGCTTAATTCCCAGTAGTTTTCAACCGAAACAGTGTTTCCCAGTAGTTTTCCAACCGAAACAGTACAATACCAACCGAAACAGTGTTTCGAGACATTCTTTGATGGAGTAGTTGAAGCAAGATGACAAGGAGATCTTAATCCTGACTCTGCTGTTTGTGCCAATTTTGAGAAAGTTGTTGGTAACAGTGCCTACGGATACCAAATCATGGATCGTTCCAGACATACTCGAACGAAGTATGTAATTGGATCATGTGTAAATACTTTGGTGAATGATAAGATGTTCAGAAAGTTTAACGAACTACCGAACGAACTTTATGAAGTTGAACTCGGTAAATCGAAAGCTGAACACAAAGAACCGATTATAGTGGGATTTTTCATCTTACAGTATGCAAAATTAGTAATGCTTGAACTCGTCTATAA